CCGCCGCCGCCCCCCCCCCCTCGAGGTGTCTGGATCCACTTATCGACGAAGAAAGTCGGCAATCACATAACTCGGTTTGCGACGTCGCAGACTTCCTGTCATACTTTATTTTTTAAACGGAAAACTACTCAACGGTAATTCTTTAAAACTTTCGTGATTTTTCTTCTATATGCGAGGAAAATTCTGCAAAAACTTCAAGAAATCATGTCCATTTGTCCTCCTTTAAAAAAATAACATAGTTGCGGAGATTTTCAGACACCGCAAACGAGTTATGTGATCGCCGACTTGCACCGTCGTTATGTATTGAACTGAAAAAAGGTGCTTGTTTCAAGCATGATAATTCTTGCATCGCCGCGAAGAGTTTTGTTTTTTATCTTGACTTTAGCTGAATTTCGATAGAAAACAGAAAAAAATGCTCGGGTTAAATAAAAATCTAACTTCAATTAAGCAGTACCGTTATAGGGCATTTCGTCAACGATTTTCTGTCCGCACACCTGTTCTTTCCACTAATTTACGTCCACGCGTTTTTCCGGCATGGGAGTTTTGGTCCACGTGCCGGTTGAGACCCAAAGTTAATTTGCCCACATGTAAATACAAACGACAATTGCTCACGACGTTTTTGGATGAAAATATATAATGTCTTGGAAGAATGAGGGTTTGCTTGTTTTTTTGTTTTGTCTGTTTGGTCCAACGGAGAATAATATATAGTTGAGAGTTTTGGTAAAAATGGGGGAGCGTCAATTCCATGAGACAAAATTCACTAAAACTCTCTACACCTCTTTGGTGTAACAGGACTTAATTATCTTTCAAGATTTTCCCACCTTGTTATACCTGTACCGGATAAACCTCTTTATTTGCCTCAGCTAAAGGCTCTTAGATTTTTCCAGTGTACGATAAGTATCTTGATTTATTTTGCGAGGAAAGATCTCTACCTTTAAAGGATGCCTGTCATTCTTAATACGTTCGATTTCGAATAATACTGTGCAACACCTCTGTTGTAAAATAGTTGCTTCAGGCGCCGCCGCACGGCGCGGAAGGCGGGCGGCCAGCGCGGAACGCGCATTGCCGCCTACAAACCTAAGTGGATACTTCAAGCATTGTGCAATGCGTGAAGTATCCACTTAGGTTTGTAGGCGCCAGTGGGCCTCTCGCGCTGGCAGCACGCCGCCGCGCGCCGCTCCGCTCTGTTAGGATTTGATATTTATGCTCGCATAGTCAGCGTTTTTTTAACTCATGATTTTGAAATGTTTGCACACTCTGCATTGATTATTCTCATTTAAATTGATGGGGGAAAAATATGTATCAATTTATAAAAGGAGAATAATAATATAGTGTGTGTTTTTTAAATATTGGTGGTTTGTGTCAAATTTAATTATTTCCAAAGCACTTTAATTTTTTCTTTTACATTTTGTACTTTTATTGTGCTGCAGCGAAGTGCACGCACAACCAAACGCTCAAAATATGACGTAGTTGACTCTAAAAAATCGATGTACAAGTGGGTTAAAACTAAAAATTGCGTATTTTTTGGTTTTATTTTCCTCTTTTATTCATTTTTGCAGTTTCTGTCGGCACAACTGCGGCTCATTGAGATTAATGTCGCTTGAAAAAGGTTTTACACATATTTGCCACGTTTTAAAAATATAAATGTTTTCAAAATGAAGTAATAATTTCGTAATGAAAAAATTAAAAAAATAAAAAAAAAAAACTAGTACCTACACATATATATAAGGTATATTGTACATCGAATATTTTAAGGCTAGAAATAAAACCAAATAGTCACCAATGGCAATTTAAAAAGATGATTCAAAAGGAGAAAGTAATAACATTTCATTTAGGAAATGAGCAACCTTAACAACACCTCCTTCTCTCTCAATTTCTCATTCCCCTATTGTCTAAATAATTTTACATACCGACTAAAATATAACGCTTGGACCAAGTCACTGTTGCTTATTTTACGTGTGGGCGTAAACTACTGGACAAAAAAGGTGCGCGGAAAAAAAAAATCGTCGACAAAATGTCCTGAAACCAAGCAGCACCATTCTGGACTCAAGATTAACTATTCCTAGCGGCAAAGTTAATTTTTTTTTTCTTAGTGTGGATCACCATTACTACTTACTTTTAACTGGGAGAGAAGAGACTTAATTCAAGAGGTAACATTCATAAGTTTGCTAAAAAGATGTACTTTTTTTATCCTTCTATCGAATTATTTTTATCGAGCAGAAAATATGACCATATTATTGAAATTAATTTCAGTAAATTCACTGAAAAGAAAATTGTTGCACGATTCGAGAAAAAATGCAATAAAACGAAGTCGAACTGAACTTTATTTTGCAATGAGGAGCCAGGAGCCTCTATATCTGGTTCGCAGTAAAAGTACCTACCTGTAAAATCAGTCTAACGATACCTACGTTGTTTTTGAAATGAACCCCCAGTAAAAGTGAATCAGCCTGACGTCAGACTGATTCACTTTTACTAGGGTGTCAACACCTTCTCATAATTTTCCTCATATTTTTAAATTTTCATTTACTTCTCTCTAGTCTCATTTAGGATGGCTGGATCCAGTCCACTTTCCAACTTTTAGTCTTTATCCTCCAACCATCTTCAATAATCACCCATAAATTTAATTACTAGACTTGCAGCTAATACCTACATAGATTATAGCCAACCAATCACGCGTAGGCTTGTTGTCTCACCACCGGTGACGTCAGCAAGACTATATAAGCGTGGGTTGCCCTAAAATCTAGGTCTTTTTCCCATCTTGTAGACCCTAGACCTGTACTCCTCTACGGTTTTAGTGATTCTCAGTACTCTGATACGTCGTGCCATCCTCTTTAATTTTACGGTGCATTTTGTGTAGGTAACTTCTGACTCTCTATCTTTTTGTGAAACTGCGATCTCTTTGAAAAGTTTTTCAATACAAGTCATTTCAAGAACTCACGTGTTTTTCCTCAACACTTATCCCTCGACAGTTTGTTGAATCTGACGCAAAATCAACTGGTGCCGAAAGCAATTTTAGTAAAAACTCTTTTATTCCGACCTGGTGCTTCAATCATTTTAGTAAGCACTCTTCTATTCCGACAAGGGACCAGGAATAATGGATTTCTTCTTCATAAGTTCCTTTTCCCTTTCAGTTTTAGTTGAATATATTTTGCAGAAATTATACATACCTGTCCCAACACTGTAAGCCCATCCGATCCACTGATTAACCTGCTGAACGTATTCCTTAGCCTTCGACACACGCTGCTCCATTTCAGTGACGATTTCTTTCGTGGTGTCATCGATGACTTGAAGTTCTGAGGGATGATCTACTTCAGGAGCAGCAGTGGCGCTAACACTCTGCGACAAACTATCCTCAGCAACAGTCGTTAACGCAGTTGATGCGTCCTCAGTTTTGTCAGTTTTTTCCGGTTCTCCATCTGCTCCATATTGAATCCGACTGTCAGCACCCTGTAATTAGTAAAGTAAATAAAAAAAAGAAAAAACGATCAGTTTTTCTCGTCAACGAAATCTAATCAAGACCGATGAACGAAAATCCAACCCTATGGATGACCGAGCATTGAAATCGTACTTTAGTAGCATTTTTCAGAGAAAGAGTAGCTTTTGTCGGCTTGAATTAAATAGAATATAACCGAGTCACATTTCTTAACCCTTAGATGCCTAAGTTGGCTTAAATTGACCCATACATGTGGCTTGCGGATTGTATATATCCAGTGCATACGAGTTTAAGATATATGTCTCTAAATACATCCTACAAAAGAATCATACATGTTTGAAAAAAAGGAAAATAATCGAGTCTCAACACAGCCGAAGATAGAAGAGACGTATTCGGGCCTCTTTTTTTAAACTTTTCTCCCTCTTCTTAAGCGGCCCTCATTGGCAGCATAGAGCAAAGCTTGCGAATTTACACCTCGCGCCTTCAATTTTACAGATGCAGCACGGACGTCCATCAAGCACGAATAGTTGTATCTCCGCGCCGTCATTAACACGCGACAATTCCCCTGCTATATTTCCATATTGTATTCGTTTCCGTTTGTCTTTTCTGTAGTCGCGCTTTAAAAGCTACGTGAACAGCACAGCCGAAGAAAGGAGACTTAATCGGGCCTCGTTTTTTAACTTTTCTCCCGAATTTAAGCGACATTTCATCGGCAGCCTAGAGCGGAGCATCGCGAATTCATGCCTCACGCCATCGCGCCTTCAATTTTTCAGATGCATCACGGACGTCCATTAAACACGAATAGTTGTGTCTCCGCGCCGTTAGTCTCAGTGATCGTCGCTCCTCTGACGCATCTCAATTCGTGGGTGAGCCCTGTTCTCCGTGTAACTCAATGCTTCCCGCGGCTCATGTGGAAATTGAGATACGCCTTCGTGTTAGAGGAGCGACGTAATATTTGCGTCGTGGAAATTCTAATGTTTTTTTAATTCCTAAATTTACAATTTTTCCATGTGATTTAATGGAGAATATGCTGCCGTGCTAAGGAAAAACGCCGTATAAACATTCGAGAGATGTCAAATTTTCTTCGATGATATGTTTATTTTTATAAGAAAACTATGAATATTTTTCCTTGATATTTTCAGGAACCTTAGATAAAATTGCGAACAAAATTATCTAAAAAAACTGGAAGAAAAATATTCACAAATTTTTCAGAAAATTCGCGATTTGCTAAAAGAATTTTGACAACGCTTGAAGGTTCATACGGCGTTTCTCCCTAGTACGTTTTCTCCTGAAACGTAAAAATGAGAAAATGAAAAAATAAAATAAAAAAATAAAAGAAAAAACATTGCAATTTGACTAATGATTACGTCAATAATATTGACAGCTCAAGAGCTCTTTTGTGAAAACATGCTAAACTTCATTTTCAAAATCTTACGAAGTACCAAGGCATTTGACAAAATTTTCGGATTACTCAACTATTGACGTTCGAAAAATCCAGCGATTTAAAAATATTAAGCTAAATGAATAAATAATTAAATTGAACACAACAAAGAAGAAAAGTATGGACGGAAAAAATGATTTACCTGTGCAATGAACACGGTGAGGGACACAGCAAAAAGCACTCTGACTAAAGGACCCATGGTTCGATCTTCGGATCCAATGCCGATTTCCATCCACGGAGCTTTCATTTATGAGCGAGTTCTTTTGCACGTCATCCTAGTTTTCGCAGAACGCTGCGTGCATGACGCATGCAATCAATGCAAAATTCTATACTTTTCCAACCGATGTCCCTATTTGTGCCTCTCAAAGACTCCTAGCTGGCATGCGAGTTCAAGAATCGTTGTTCGGAGCCACCAAGGGCAAAAAATATATGACGCGCGTTTGAATGCCTTCAGTAAAAAACCATTATTTTTTTTCTTTTTTTTCATTTTCATTTTATTTGCACACTACGTCGGATTTTTTGAGCTTTGAAAGATAGGTACTCTGTGACCTTGATCGCGACACGGAGGAGTCCCTCACTCATGCCCCGCACCGTGAAAAGGCCTGCGCAGGCCGATTATTGAAATTGATAGACAAAGCTATAGACAAAGGAGACAAAAGAGATGTAGGGATTCTATTCGTGGAAGCGGGTAGTTGCGATGGACAAACGAGGTAGGTAATAGAATAACGAACAGCAACCCACGAGAGACCCGATAGTTAGTCCATCATTATCTCCCTTAGTCTATAGGAACCACCCATTTCAACCAATAGGGTCGCTCCATACTCCCTATGTCTTCTTTGTCTACCACTTTGTATAAAACTTCAATAACCAGTCCGCTGGTGGTATAAAAATGGTAGCAAAAAGCTCAGGTCGAATTTTAAAAATTCAAAGACAGCGGGCTCTTATAGAGATTTTTATTTATTGATAGCAGAATAATCACTTCTGCTGGAGCAATGGGTTTCTGCGTGAAACGAAGATTAAAATAAAACCTAGGCGAATCAAGGAACTCATAAAAACCCCTCAGTCACCATGTGTATAATGATATACGCACTTCGATCGGCTACATCCACATACATTGAGTCTTAGGGGGATCAAGAAATTAACAGTGAGTCTGAAATGATTTCAAATGGTATTCGTTGTTAAATGTATCTTTTAAGCAAAAGTACAATCTCGTAACTAATACTCCGTTACTCACACCGCAACAATGATGACAGGTTTTTGTTGACTCACGTGATGATTTCATGATTCTGAGTCAGGCAATTTGCGCTTATGTGATAAAATTCCCAATTTTTTTCAGAAATTGCTGAAGTTTTCCCCAAAGCATTTTTCTTTTAAAAAATGTCAGTCTCTTAGGCATTTGGATTGATTGATCGCCTTAAAAATATCAGGGATTTATGTTATTCGAATCGCTTTGACAACCGTGTATTTCGCCGCGGCAAACACGCACATATTTGACATTTGAAGTGCCCACGCTATGTGCGTGAATTGCCAGGAGGAGAAAGGTATTGTTTTTCCGACCTTTTCTTTTCCACACGTACGCTAATAACTGGAAACAAGGAAAACTCACGTTTTCAAATCACGAGCAAAGTGTACATATTTTTTTCTGTGATTGACGATTTTCTTGAGATCAAAAACTCTAAAGCAGGTTTTTCTTGAGATTACTTTGGTATAAAGGTACCTACGATTAGACAACGTTTAGCAGAAAGGAGCCAAAAGTCCATTAGAGTGTATTCAGAAGTGTGTAGTCTTTCCTTTTTCTGAAAAATACCCCGAAGTTTGAACAGTCTTTATTTTTTCACCAAAATTGTTTAGTTTTAAGTGAAAGTTAATAAGGTATTAAGCATAGTTAATTCCTAGTTTTATTGTCAATTATTTTTCCCAATATATGGAGAGAAGTTTAGGAAGCTTTCCGTGCAAGTAGTCATAGGAAGGACAATTCTTGCGAGCTTTAATGAGTAACCCATATCTAGCAACATGACCTTTGATATGAGACCTTGCAAGGGATTGCAATTATTTTCCACTGGAGAAAAACTACGAAGTATAAAAGAAAATAAGTTTTGCAAATTTTAAGGTGCGTCCGTGCCCACCTTGAAGTTTGTCAAAGTCATAGAAATGTGTTCTTTGTATTTTAATCTTTTTAGAGTCTCAAATTATTGGAGCCTCTTGCAATAAGAGTCCATTTAAAAAATCCCACTTCTATATTTTACTCAATCTTTGCAAAACTTGTCCTTTTTATGATGTCATTGTATCAACCACCTATGACTTATTCATAACGACGCATTTTTTTGGTTTATTAAAAATTGAATCTTTCCTCTTATGATTTTCCCAATTTTAACCTATACTCTTTTGAAAACATGACTCCTGAAAATTTGAAATTTCGAGGAAAAAATTTGGGAAACCATGTTTTTACGAAGCTACAACATAGATGTGTGTCCCCCAGGATTCAAGATCCTCAATGAATTAATGCAATGGAAGGTTAAATACTTCTTCAACCTCCCTCAGTCGCAATAAAAACCAAAAAGGACCTTCCTGAAGAAAGAAGCTGTTTAAGGCACGACTATGAATTAAGTCCCGATTTTACGTCGCACAGTGGATCGAGTCAAGTAGAGAGGCCGGGCATGAATTTTTTTACTAAAACTGCAAATTTTAATGTTTATTTCGTCACATTTCAAATTACAAGGGGAACTTGTAGCAAAAAAAACGAGTAAATCAATGGAACCACGTTTAGAACCTCAACGTTTCGTATAAACGGAGTTATAAGCTTTCAAAGTTTCCAAATTTTGTCCGATCTCTCCTATTGACTCGATCCATCGTGCGTCGAAGTAGGCCCAATCAATTTTGAAGGGGCACATACTGCCGCGCTAAGGAAGAACGCCGTATGAACCTTCAGGCGTTGCAGAATTTCCTTCGATAAAACGCGAATTTCCTGATAAGCTTATTAATATTTTCCTCCCAATTTTTCAGATAATTTTGTTCGAAATTTCACCTGAAGATTCTGAAAATTTTAAGGAAAAATATTCGTAACTTTCCTCAAAAATGAACATTTTATCGAAGGAAATTTGGCAACTCTCGAATGTTCATACGGCGTTCTTCCTTAACACGGCAGCATAGTTGCTCATGAAGCAAAATTCACGAGAGGGCGTACGCACTCAGCTCTGAAAATTCGATCGAAAAACACGCAGATCTAACGAGAGTGACGCAACACAAACAATGGCGTGAAAAGTTGAAAAGCTTTGCCTGTGACAGACATAGTCCATTGCCAAAGGGAGATGATTCATTTTTTTGCCTTTAAGGTCCGTGAATTCACTCGAAAGGTTCAAATGGTGGAGGTTGTCGCGTTACCGATAACCTGTGTTGTCATGTTTCTCATGACAGTTGATTGACAGTTGATTTTTGAATGTGCGATATTTACGTATAAGGGGCCTTTCATAAAGTACGTCACGCTGATGGAAGGGGGGGGGGGCGAGAGAGAATTACGCAAAGTCAAGTTTTATATGGTATATTTAATGGTGTATCTGAGAGGTGAAAATTCAAAACCTAGTAAGTGCCATCAAGTTTTGTCAGGATTGTGCGTGGTGTTTCTCGCTATAAAGGAACCTAAATGCTTCAATTTCATGAGTTCTTTATCGGGCTATTATTTCAAATGTTGGTATTATTACAATGACGAGCATTGCGCTCAAGCAACTTGATTCCTCCAAAAATGGAAGAAGCAGTGACACCATCTTAACTACATCTGAAGGCGCATACCAGATTTTGATTTTCTGCTCTTCTATTTGCTGAATTTCCAGCAGCTTATAGTAGGCTTTTAAGCTAACACACGGAAGCACATTCGCTGAGTTCTCTGACTCTATCGATAAGTGCGATTATTTCATTTCATTTCATTAAATATTTATTATTTTGTTATTTCAATTCATTGAATAATACATCTAATTTTTAAAATATAGAAATGTATAATGATATGTATACCCCCATGCATTTCAATTAAAATATGGATGCTTTGTTTCGACTTGTATATCATTATAACTCATTAAAAATATGGTCACGCTCTGCATAAATTAACAGTATATCATATCTGAAACACCTAATGCAGCCTAGACGAATAGACTAGCAGATAGACTAAAACTTTGCCGAAGGACTAATAGGGGGTATTCAAAAATGAAAACACAGGTGTTGGCCGAAAATAATATTGTTTTAAAATTTATTATTCAAAAAATAGACGGTTGACAGTTGTTGGAAAAAATATCGAGGGGAGAAAACGAAATTACTAAGTATCTAATCGCACGTGTATTAACAAAGAGAAAACATGTACAATTCCGAACGGTTATGACGACAGAATATAGGTGCTTTTTACGATTTTATTCAAGTAAACAAAATTAACTATAGGTAACAAGTCATGTAAAACTAACAGAGACGGCTAAGTTGTTAAAAATATTTGTAGACATTGCAATCGACGATTTATTATTAAGTGAAACGCTTTTCAGCTTTATACTCATGGATAGTCATTGCGCCGTCGAACCAAAGGCGGATCCAGCACTTTGGCAACATCGGATTACCTCCATTTAAACTTATGGTTAAATAGTCGATTCTTTTCGGAGCATCTGGCTCCTCCAAGAATCGATTTATTTCTATTGGTTTAAATGGAGAAAAACAATGTTGCCAATTTGCTGGATCCGCTAATGCGTCGAACACAGATCTTACGATTTTGACAAAAAAAATATATACCTTATGGGCAGGAAAAAACAACACATTAAGGACTTGAAGGGGTCAGAACCAGAGAAGATGGTACAATCTAGCGTTTCAAAGTTTTACTCCACGAGCTATGTATTTACTCCAAAACGCACTTGCTTTTCTCTCAAAATTATTCTTCTGGATTTTCTCTGTTATTTGACGAAAGTTCCCTCAAATGCTCACTTAGAGATCTAGCGAAAGATATGTACTTTTAAAGGATGTCTGTCATTCTTAATACGTTCAATTTCTTATAATACTGTGCAACGCCTCTATTGTGAAATAGTTGCTTCAGGCGCCGCCGCACGGCGGGCGGGCGGCCAGCGCGAAACGTGCATTGCCGCCTACAAACCTAAGTGGATACTTCAAGCATTGTGCAATGCGTGAAGTATCCACTTAGGTTTGTAGGCGCCAGTGAGCCTCTGCGCTGGCAGCACGCCGCCGCGCGCCGCGCCGCTCTGCTCTGTTAGGCTTTAATATTTATACTCGCATAGTCAGCGTTTTTTAACTCATGACTTTGAAATGTTTGCACACTCTGCATTGATTATTCTCATTTAAATTGATGGAAAAAAAATATGTATAATTTTATCAAAGGAGAATAATATTGTAATCTGTGTTTTTTAAATATAAAACTCACTATAAAACATTTACCCATTAAATATACAGGAATCATGGTTGCCAGGTAAAACTCAGCAACGTTTCACCGCAATCAAGTCCATCTGGCTTTGACCCCTTCATGCCTGTCATTTGGGCTGTGCATGTTTTCACTGACAGACAGAAGTTTAATAATTCCTAAAGGCGTTCGATTTGAGTCCATTCATGACACATTCCCTCTGCCTACTTTTTTCCTCTGGTCGGTCACTTTGTTTTATGATGATAAATCATTATTTCAGTGTAGAAGACTTGTAACTACAATGTTTTCGTTTCGATATAACACTAGCTAGAAAATTACACAGCGGTCCCATTGCTTCCTATGTCATTTGCAACTTTTGAAGTGTGATATCTTGCGTTCGGCGTTATGTGTCACTACCAAATTGCTCACCACTAAGCATATTGAGGGTATGGATGACTCAATTTATCCAAAAGTGTTGGTTACAACCCTTTGCTCCAAGCCGATGTAACAGCTTCATAAGAATCTTTCCTCCATGTTTGATAGTTTGATCAAATGAGATCTATGGTTTTGAAATTGTTTAAAAAATGCACTACTATCGATTAACGAGATCAGAATAACGAATCTAAGAAATTTCGCATAAGTATAAATATAATTTATGATTAGAGTAAGTATGTCATGATCATCGTCTCTCCGTTGAATAAACTCGCCATATCTATAGCGGTAGGCACCGTACATTATATTTTACCCCATTCTTTATACGAGGTCTGAGTATGGTATGTACTCACATCATCAAATGGACTATATTTTGCAATAAAAAACTACTACTTCTGGCTCATCTGGTAATTGTCACTTTTCTGCACAGAAAATCCATTGGAAATCCCTCGGAATATGTTGTTTCTAAAGTAAGCCTTACTGTAGGATTCTTGTTGCAAAATTTATTTCAATTGTGACTGCTAAGCGGAGAGGGACTTTGATGAATGAAAGCAGATTTTTCAGGATCTTTGTTTAGTTGAACCAATAATTTGGAAATTCAGTTTAGCGGAACTCATTCCACATTATTGCAAAAACTGAGTTGCAAGCGGTCAAAGACATTTTTGTGTTAGTGAGGCTTTAGTTGCACTATAATTCTGCGCTCTGGAGCCCAAAACAAATAGATAAAAACTGTACATTTTTTCTCTCTCATAAATGCTTTTTCCGCTTGTAACCCGTGAATCTTCATGCCTCCTGTTCAGTTTGAAATTTTTGGGCGTCTTTTTATTTATTAATATAACATGCTTGTAAATCGCTCTCTAGGAGTGATGTTAAAGTCAGTGGCTCGGCATGTTTTGCGATGTATCGATTGATATTCCATTCAAACCTATGAAAAAAGATCGATTATCAAGACGTTCTCGATGAACACCACCGTCGTAGCTTCTTTACTATAGCTTCAAATGGGATAACATCGAGAGTCGATTATCACGTCTCGCCACTGGTTAGTGTCTCAGTTGCAATTTTTAAGGCACTGAGGTCCCTTCCCCGTGATTGGTTACAAACATCAATTTCATTGCACTTTGATCGCTTAGCTTATGACTAATAAATAACCTTCAATTACAAAATGGAAATAAAAAGTAACATCGATTCACACAATTAAAATGGAGACATGTTAAAGCTCTATAAATGATCTGATCTGTGGAGTTTTGAAGTTTCCTCTCATGGTATATTTTCGTCGCTTCTCAAAAGAATCAATGAATTTTCAGAGATAAAGAAATTCATTTTACCAAAAGTTTCTACACAGGTCATTTCCCGCGAATTTTCAACAATAATTTGCCGAATACTTTTTTGGGGGAAATAAGAAATGAGAGGAACTATAATTAAACTTCTCGAAGCAGACAGATTGGTGTCACTTAACACTTAAGTCATTGCAAAAGTTTAGAGTGGAGAAAATACATGATCCAGAATCTAACAGCAATTTTTTAAACTAATTGTAATCTGTATCTGCTATGATTGTGTGTAGAATATGAAATAATAAAATCGCTCAGTAGAAATGACCCGTCTAAGTGTTTAAGAAATCTAATCATTAGATGAATAGCCATATCAGTTGATATGAGTCATTGTTTTCAGCAATGGTCACAATCCTCGAAGTTTTCATGCCTACCTAAATAATAAATTGAACACCTTCACCTACCGCCTTCATAGCGGTAGGTAGGCAAAGAAATCGACATTGGTGTTAGAATAGTTGCATTCAAATATATTCCTGCCGCTCTAGCAAATAACTAAACAATTCCCAAAGAAATCTGGAGTAGATGTTCTGTTCCTGTTAAACATAGCATTAATCTATTCGAATGCAACTATTCAAACACTTTCACACCACTATTGCACTATGTGACTATTTTTGCCTGTTTGCTGCTGTAAAGGTGAACACATTTAACGCTGCTAATCAAGTTTCTTAGATAGAAAAAATAAAAGTGCGTGTTTGCCTTCAATTGAACGATTAGAAAAAAATGACCGCACAAATTACATAGCTTAAGTTCAAAGATCAGCTGGCTGCTTGAAGCTCTGAAATCTGAGTAGAACCCTGCTCAGCCAACTTGGTTGCTAAGTGGGTATGCGTAACCCTATTGTTATCATATGGGCGTAAGTGCAGCAATTATGGTCGTTTAATTGACCTAGGAAGGTTTTTTAAAAATGCTTTGACATTGCCTACAGCAAGTTTGAAGAAAACCGTTTTGAGAATTTTTGCCCATACATGTGAAGGGTAATTTAAACAGAATGGTGGTTTCACGTTGAAAGAAAACTTGATATAGCTTTGACAAATTAAATGGTTAACACAAAAACAGATCATTTTACTGAGGCTACTACTGGCACAATAACTTCATTGGATGAACTTTTAGCTTATTGAGCTGAGAAAAAAGACCGTATGAACATTCACCTTTTGCCAAATGTCTCCTCGTAGAGAAAAACACTTTCCGATGATTTTTTCAGAGATTTTCATTCGCAATTTAATCTATAATATTCGAAAATCCTATGAAAAACATGGAAAGATTTGGCAAAATCCAACTTCTCACACGGTCACATTCCTCAGTCGGCAGTGTCATAGGTTCAATTTTTCCCCCATCCTCAACCATTCACAGCTAACTCATTGCGCTACTAAGCTTAAACCGTATCTCCATGACTCAACCGCCCAACTTTGAGACACGCCATCAGCTTCAATATGACATTTGAAAATTTCTACTAGGACGTCATTCCACCAGACAAGTCTCAAAGAGGGCATAGTTCGTTGCGGATAAAAATTCAAATAACCTTCAAATACTCACTAAAATTGACTAGAATCACCCCAAAAAGGGCCCTGTTCTCAACTCTAATAGAGACAATGGCTTAACTTGCCATCCTCCTAAAAACAAATTTTCTCAATTTTTTATGTAATTCTTGCACTTTTTTGCTAACGACAAGGTTAACCACTGCCTCTCCCACCGTCATACGAGCGGCTTACATTTATTGGGGAGCTGTGCACTGCAAAATACACGTTTCATTAAGAAAAAATAACCCAGTAATATCACCCGAAATTCTCAATATTTACCTAATTTTCATCGTGGAATTTTAAAAATTCATCATCTCCTGATAAAAGCACTGTTTTTCTGAGATTATTTCACAGGTTTCGTTTGCTGAATACAAAATTACCGGTAGAAATGATCGGAAACGTTGTAAAATTACCGGAAAATGATTGAAATACCGGTAATTGGTAACTAATGACAGTAATTTTATCGAAAATACTGGTAAAAACTGGTATAAGTAGTAAAATCACCGCAAAACGGTAGGATTAACAGATGATGGTAAAATTACCCAACACCAGGTATAAGTACCGGAAGTGTGGTAATTTTGCATCCGGCAAAGTTACGTTACAGGAGAAGAAGGCAACATTAACAGGAAAACCGTTAAAATTACCGAAAAAACGTTAATTGTACAAGGTACCACAAAATAACAGTTAAAATTCGTAAAATTCCTAGAAGCATGGTAAAATTACCGGGGACGATGAACTTATTGATTAATTCGGCGATAGGTAACAACCAACTGTAATTTTACCGATTTTCTCACAAAACACGGTAAAGCTGGTAGAATTACTAGAAGTATACGATAAAAATACCGAGGACAATAAAATGATTGGTGGATTCGACAATAGATAACTACCAACAGTGATCTTACCGACTTTTCAACAAAACACGGCAAAATTACCGATAAAACTTGGTAAAATCAACACAGAAACACGGTAAAATTCCCGGGCTTCTCGCTCAGCGCTCAATCGAATATGCAGATCAAAACCCTGAGCATGCAATCGCCTACGCTAGAGCCGCAACAACTGGTCGACGGTCCTTTCGTCTTGTTTTTCGTTTTCCGCTTTTTACTCTTGCTCTTCTTGGCTTTACTATCACAGACTCCGCCCTGAGGGATGGCCAGGAGGGAAGCAGCCGGGTCCGAATCCCCAGGGGCCCGGTAGTGGTCCAGCATGACCGACCGCTTGCTCAGCGGCACCGGCTCGAAGCTGAACCCGGAACTTGAGCTTCGCCTACTACTAATCTTACTAAGAATCTCGGTGGTCAAGCGCGGGCACCGCTGGGGTTTCTTGAAGATATTCCACGCGTTGGACTTGATAATCAGGGACAGTATTAACGTCTCCTCCGGCTTGTCGAAGAAGTCCGACTGCATCGGACCCGCCAGGAATTCTTCGGAGGTCATCAACAGGTACCGGCAGGTGAAGAGGAGTTTATCCTCCAAGACCTTACGTTTATTCTCCCGAGTGAGCTCAAGGTGGAGTTTTTTACACTCGGAATTGCACCATCGGCTCAACGCATTGAAAACCAAAAACTCCGACGAAACGCGCAAGGAGTCTCTCTCGAGGATCTCTTGCAACTCGGCTGAAGACAGATTCTCCAGGCTCTCCTCCATGAGGACGTCGTCGGCGTTCTGGTCTATGTACAGCAAGCAGTTGAACAACAAGGAGGAACAATAGTAGTCTATCACACTGAAGTAGTTGGTGGTGTCGGCGACGGTGTCACCCTCCGGCGAGGGTTCTTCCGCGTTCTCGGGGACGATGGACTCGCGGCTCCCGGATTTGGTAGGTGTGAGCGGGGGCGCGGTCGCCTGGTAGAGACACCCGTCCGTCCGGATCTTGACGAGGCTGTCCTCGCTCGAGTAGACGCGGAGGTGCTGGTAGACGCGCAGGACGCTGTCCACGCTCATGTGCTCGTCCAGGTACATGATGCACTTCTTCACCAGGTCGATGCACAGGTACTTGTGTGCCGCGTATAGAGTCAGGAGGGCAGTCGTGGCCGACTGTAGGTTTATCTCCTCCTTGTACAGGAACCTGAAACCGAAAACAGGTTTTTTCTTAAAGTTAGACAGAGGTTCTTTGGCCACTGCGTGACCTAACTTCCAGTCAATTTTTTGCACCCCTTACAGGTGTTTTACTCAAAATCGTCGAAGCAACCGTCGAGTTTGAACACAGAGTACACAGAGTCGTAATTTAAATGGGAGAGCTGGCGCCATGTTCTGCTCGACGAGTTCCGAGCCCGGTGTGCGCCGAGTTCGGGCCACTTTTTCGATACATTTTCGATCCAAAATGGCGCTGTGGAATACGTGGTGATTCCTATCTTCTTTGTTTACATCGGATGGCCGGGTACCCGTGTATCGCAAACAATCGATCATGTATCGAAAAAGTGACCTGGCGTCACTCAGGAGTCTTGGAATTCGGGACCCGGAAAATTCTTAAAAGTGGCGCCAGCTCACCCACTTACATTACGACTCTATGTACTCTAAGGGTTTACTCAAAATCGCCGAAGCAACCGTCGAGTCTGAGTAGTGCGTGATGTGATGATGGTCAATTTGGCTAATTATAATTCATTAATTCTTTAACATCCTGAAGTTTTGGTATTTTGAAATTATTAATGTTTTTTTAGTTTTTTGAAGTCACTGAAACGTCCTTAGAGTAAAATAATGAAAATAAGGTAGATGGAGGTTCAGGTCGTGCTGGATTCTGCCGCACCATATCTGGCACGCTACTCGCTAAGGTATAGAAGGTTCAAATGACGCAAGATCCCATGAAAATTTGTGGTCAGAAAGCGTGCCATATATGGTACGCCAAGATGTCAGCGGTTAACAACCAACCTTAACAATTTTCAACTAAAAGCCTTTTTTCATAAGCGAAATGGTTGGTATTTGCTATTGTATTTCTTACTATTTACAAATATCGATGGCTACAGTGCAAAACCTCGCATCCTCGTTCGTGGGTTTCAGGACATTTTGTCAACGATTTTTTTTTCCGCGCACCTTTTTTGTCCAGTAGTTTACACCCACACGTAAAATAAGCAACAGTGACTTGGTCCAAGCGTTATATTTTAGTCGGTATTTAAAATTATATTTACAATATGGAAATAAAAAATTGAGAGAGAAGGAGGTGTTGTTATGGTTGCTCATTTTCTAAATAAAATGTTATTACTTTCTCCTTTTGAATCATCTTTTTAAATTGTCATTGGTGAATATTTGGTTTTATTTCTAGTCTTAAAATTTTCGATGTACAATATACCTTATATATTTATAGGTACTTTTTTTTAAATCTTTTCTATACGAAATTATTACTTCATTTTGAAAACATTTATATTTTTAAAACGTGGCAAATATTTGTAAAATCTTTTCCAAGCGACATTAATCTCAATGAGCCGCAGTTGTGCCGACAGAAACTGCAAAAATGAATAAAAGAGGGGAAAAAAACCAAAAAGCACGCAATTTTTAGTTGTAACCTATTTGTACATCGATCTTTTAGAGTCAACTACGTCAAATTTCGAGCGTGTGGTTGTGCGTGCACTTCGCTGCAGCACAATAAAAGTACAAAATGTAAAAGAAAAAATTAAAGTGCTTTGGAAATAATTAAATTTGACACGGAACCACCAATATTTAAAAAACACACATTATATTATTATTCTCCTTTTATAAATTGATACATATTTTTTTCCCATCAATTTAAATGAGAATAATCAATGCAGAGTGTGCAAACATTTCAAAATCATGAAATAAAAAAACGCTGACTATGCGAGTATAAATATCAAATCCTAAAGCCGGGTTTTCCTCCAACTAGCGCGGTGGCGCGCGCAACGGCGACGGCGTTTTTGGGCGCGGCGCTGCACTAGGCATGAAATCAAATGCTCCCGGTTCCCTCCGAAATGACAGCGCGCGATGAGCACCAAGCGTCACCGAGCCAACGCTTGCGCCCAAAGACGCAGCACCGGTCCGGGACCGGTGCTGCGTCCTCTAGCGCGGCGCAAGGCGCCGCGCCTACTAATCAATAAATTTACTTGGTTGGTTACTATTCCTTTTTCTGTGGTTTTTAATATTTTAGTGTTTTGGGTTATAAATATTATCTTACTTATTAAGTTTAAGTTTTTTATAAATCACATGTATGTTATTATTTGGTTAATAATTTTATTGGGTTTGTTTGTTTATTGTTTTGTTTTACAATTTAACCCTTTTATCAGGCACTTTATTTATTAAGATATCGGGATGAGGCTAATCAATTCTAAAATTGCAGTTTAGCGTTATATTTCTTTAACTATTAATAATTATGAAAGTTTACAATAATTCATTTTTATTGTAATAAAAAAAAAAAAAAAAAAAAAAAAAAAAAAAAAACCGAGAGAGGAGAATTAAATACTATCAAACTCCTTAACCTAAATCAGTAAAAAAATCTTAATGAGACTATTAGCCTATTAGCTATGCTTTGTTGATTAATCAATGTTTTGATAAAGTACAACATTTTTTATGTTAATCAATTTAAATTTAGGTCTTTAAATTTATCTACAAAAGTTATAATTTTTATTTATGGTTTAAGAATTTCTGGATTTTCTGTTTTAAATATTCTTGAAACTTCCGGTCATCTTCCGCGAGGTGGCGGTTCACTAAAATGTGGAATGCTCCCTCGGTTGCTCTAGTTTGGAAGAGAGGGCTTGCACTGTTCCTGCCTTTCTCTTGGTGCAGTAGCAACAGAAGTAATAACTTTTGCCGTCTCAGGGCAAGATGGTAAAGAGCAAGAGCTTTTCTTTTTCTTCTATTATCCATTGGAATGGAGAAAAAAACACAGCGGAACGCATGTGCGAGCACACTAGCGATAGACGCCACACTGATATTGAAAAACACGAAAAACAGTGTGAAAACGCCGACGCTGTACTCAGCGCACGACGCCTGACAGATTCCGAGGAGAACAGAGCCGCGCCATTCGCGCCAGGAACCGCGTTTTTGACGCGATCGCCGTGCGCTGCGCCAGTTGGAGGAAAACCCGGCTTAACAGAGCGGAGCGGCGCGCGGCGGCGTGCTGCCAGCGCAAGAGGCCCACTGGCGCCTACAAACCTAAGTGGATACTTCACGCATTGCACAATGCTTGAAGTATCCACTTAGGTTTGTAGGCGCCAATGCACGCTTCACACTGGCCGCCTGCCCGCCCTGCGACGGCGCCTGAAGCAACTATTTCACGACAGAGGTGTTGCACAGTTTTAGACGAAATTGAAGGTACTAGGAATGACAGGCATCCTTTAAAAGTACAGATCTTTCCTCGCAAAATAAATCAAGACACTTATCGTACACAGGAAAAATCTAAGAGCCTTTAGCTGAGGCAAATATAGAGGTTCATCCGGTTCAGGTATAACAAGGTGGGAATTTCTTGAAAGATAATTAAGTCCTGGTACACCAAAGAGGTGTAGAGATTTTTAGTGAATTTTGTCTCATGGAATTGACGCTCCCCCATTTTTACCAAAACTCTCAACTATATATTATTCTCCGTTGGACCAAACAGACAAAACAAAAAAACAAGCAAACCCTCATTCTTCCAAGACATTATACATTTTCATCCAAAAACGTCGTGAGCAATTGTCGTTTGTATTTACATGTGAGCCAATTAACTTTGGGTCTCAACTGGCACGTGGACCAAAACTCCCGTGCCGAAAAAACGCGTGGACGTAAATTACTGGAAAAAACAGGTGCGCGGACAAAAAATCGTTGACGAAATGTCCTCTCCGTTTATTTCTCGAAATTTCTCTCTGTTAGCAGAACATTCTGTATTTACTTCAAACTAGGAAGTCTGGTTGTTTCTCTTCGAAAAATAAAATTAAAGAGGAAATTTTATAACACCGTGATGACGATACGTGATACTGCACTATGACTATCATATGAACTTGCGCGGCTCAATAAAGGAGTATGAAATGAAAAGTACCACGGGAAGTACCAATTACCAACAAGAGGTGGTTCGTTTTTTTTTTTAGTTGATTCAGTATATCCCGCATGATTACAGAGCCTACACAGGGCTTGAAACCTCTACTACGTACTTTTGAGAGTATTGAAAAGTTCATACCATCAAAAACTAAACATCAATATTTTCGACCCCAACCCGATATTTATGAGCCGTCCTGAGCAATTTGCATGAGCTTCCAGTGCTTCCTTTTTAAGACACATTTTGTCTGACTGTCACATATCGATGGCGAACTGCAGAAATGCGTATATCGGTTTGTGGTGTTGCAGACTTCCTGTCATACTTTATTTTCTACGTGGGAAACTACTGAACGTCATTTTCTGAAAATTTCAGTGGTTTTCCGTATCTTTATGAAGAATACTCTATGAAAATTTCAAGCCATGTTGTTGGTTCGGTGTTTTTTCAAAAAATAAAACAGTAGCGGAGACTTCGAAACACCACAACCGAGAGACGCATTTTGCAGTTTCGCCGCGTCTATGTGGGAAGTAGAGAAATGAATTTTCTGAGAATTGGCGGATCCAGCAAATTGACAACATTGTCTTTTCTCCATTTAAACCAATAGAAATATATCGATTCTCGGAGGGACCAGGTGCTCCGACGAGAATCGATTATTTAGCATTGGTTTAAATGGAAGAAATTCGATGTTGCCAAATTGTAGGATCCACCCCTGTTCCTGCGTGTGGCTTTACCTAAGTAGATTATCGAAGGCCCGTCCGTCGACATCCTTGATGGTGACCACGGGGCCCGGGGGGGCGAGAGAGCCCTCGAACATGGTTCGGAACACTGGGTTCACATGTGACAGAACTTTACGGTGTCCTGGGATCCGCCATGTGTCAGAATCGTAGCCAACCAGAAATGTGACGTCACTGTCCTCTTCCCGCTCGAATATTGGAGTTTGCCTGGAACACACAAAAAAAAGGTTTAATCTAGACCATGTAAGACTTGAACAGTTGAACACTCAGGATCCTACTATAAACATTAAACATTTTCAAAATTTCTCCTGATCAGAGCCGGATTTACCTACATGCCGCCCATGGGCCACCTGTATTTTGCCGCCCCCTTCTTATTCGTTTTGAAACATCAATAAAAACCATCGAGTGAACGTGCCGGAGGGGGAGGGGTGTATAAGACACGTTTACTCGTGTTGGATACATTTTTTGCGAAAGCCCCATCAACGCTACCAGCAAAATTTTACGGAACTTCGCGCGAAAGTTAAGTTCCGTAAACCTATCTCTGTGTGGACAAGGCCCTCCAATTATAAGAAATGAACGAAACAATTATGAAAGAACAAACAAAAATGTGGTTTAATAATTTTATTGTCCGCCCCCGCGCCGCGTTGACCGCATTGTGTTAGACGCAATGCGTGAAGTATTCATGCAGTCTTGTAAGCGCTAATATGTGTTACATGCCGACCGCCGCGCCGAGGACTTCTCCTTTACATCTCAAGTCCTCGTGATCATCATGCCTCTCTGCAGGCCAAATCGTGTGTTTGGTTTCTCTCTTAACTTGACTAATTAAAGTTGCAGTCTCTTGTATTACCGAAAGACGATAAAATTAGCAATTACTGTACTCTCACGAAAAATATATTTTGTCGCCTTTTCTCGTTGGTAATTTTCTTTTCTGAATCCGATCTTTTTAATACCTGCATTTAAAAAAATTGCAAAATTCGCCGCCATGGGCCGCGGCCCATGTGACCACCCTCTTAATCCGGCCCTGCTTCCGATGAGACACCGATTTCCTGAAAGACTCATGACTAGTTTTCTTTTGAGTTTCTTTTGGATCGAACTATATAAAATGAGACTTTCCATTTGCATGTAGGGCACGTTAAACTATAGGGCGTGTGTTGGCTAAATCACCAACAGCTAGCTGATTGTTGAAATTGACAGACAAAGCGATAGACAAAGAATGCATAAGAAGTATGGAATGGTCCTATTGGTTGAAATGTGTGGTTCTTATAGACTGAGGGAGAAAATTATGGACTGACTGATGGATCTCTCGTCTCTCGTAGGTTGCCGTTGGTTAGTCTATTACCTACTTCCATTGTCCATTTCAAGCACCTGCTTCCGCCAATAGGATGCCTTCATATCCCTTTCGTCTTATTTGTCAATAGCTTTGTCTATAAAATTCAACAATCAGCCCGCAGTACTATCGATACGACTCGTGAGTCCAACAACAACTTGTTTGCAGTCATCACTCTCTACGATCCACAACAATAAAATCACCTGTCAGTGTCGTTTTTTTGAAAAAAAAAATATATTGATTTCCTCAAAAATAAATATTATCAGTGACATTTTCGCAGTTGCAAATCCCTCCATTTCGTAGAGTCAACCTAAAGTTCTCCTTCAATATCATCGCATAGGCAAAAAACCTACATGGGAGCATGGATTGTTATATATACTTAAAAACATGCGAACTTCTTACATCTCATTTTGATTCTAAAACAGAAAACGTTGGGTGAATAAATTTATAAATTTGTTTTTTGAACGCCTGTCTTCAGATTTGAAGCAAAGACTACAAACCTACCGAAAAACACAAACAACTATCTATTCGAAAAAAGTACAATTATTTCCCTCCGTGTTTTGATTGTGAACCAATGAACGATGTGTGATACAATCGGCAGGTATGATCCTCTTTAAGTTTGCCTTCAATATCATTGCTTAGGCAACAAACCTACAGGGAAGCACGAATAGTTATCTCTTCGAAATCATACAATTATTTCAATTCAAAAGATGATTGTGGACCAGTAAACGATGTGTATCGCCTTCAATTTCTCCTTCAAATAATTTTGGAAACATCTCTAGCGTAAATGCAAAACATAGTACTGCCGCGCAAAGGAAATAACGCCGTATGGAAATTTGAGAGTTGCCACATTTCCATCGATGAAATGTTCATTTTTTAGGAAAGTTATGAATATTTTCCCCTGAAATTTTCTGACTTTTCGGCGAAATTGCGAGCGAAATTATCTGAAAAATTGGATGAGAAATATTCACAAGTTTACCAGGAAATTCGTGTTTTAAGAAAAAGGAAATTTGGCAACGCCTAAAGGTCAATACGGCGTTTTTCCTTAGCACGGCAGAGTAGCCAACCAAATAATTTAGTCACACTAACCGACGTTCGCTCGCATCGAGACCTACGTTTAGTCATACGTTGACTAAGCGAAAAGCGGCTAAATGAGTCATGCTCGGCCGAAGTTTCTAATTTTAATCCAAGTCCAGAGTTCTATGCTACCGTGCCAAGAGAAAACGCTGCAAGTGTGATTGTACGTTGCTTCGATTGTGCAATTTCAATTTTTCGGAAAACCCAACGTACATATTATAATTTCACAGACTCAGGTTCGATGAGCCTTTACTTTTAAAGATTTCTTTTCAGTCGCTGGCAACACATGCGTTTAATTCTTTTTCGATTCGACGTAAGTTCAGTTTTGAGAAAAGCATAACTCCTGACGTAATTTATAAATATAGTATCGTCAACTTACTCGTTGCTCAGTGGCACATTGTTGTTGGGTTCTGGAGCACTACCGGACATTTTCTCCGATCAATGAATATTACTATGAATTCAATGATTCCATGGTCCTTTTTGATGACGCCTCTCTGAAACATAAACATATAATCTGTTAAATCAATACCGCAAAAATGATGTTTTGGTGTAGGCAATAGTTATCGAAGGAGTCTCAATGAAAGAATACATGTAACAAAATAAAGAGGGGGAGGGGGAGAGGGGGAAGAAAGAGAGAGAAATACTGGTACTGGTACTGGTACTGGTACTTGGTGAAATAATAATTCAAGAAAGGCAAACAAGTCTCTTTAAAATTGTTCTCTCCATAACCGAGGAACTGACCTCCTTCTAGGGGCGAAACTAGGAACTTTTTGTGGCGGGTAAGGCAGAAGGACACCTTTGTAAAGGGAAGGGTCTAGGTGACACTAAAAAACATTCTGTTAAGGGAGATTTGTGGAACTGCAGTAGCTCCAGGAGCTATGGTGGAATCGTGTAACCTCGTAGAGAGGTCCGGAGGCCTCCTTTGGAAATTTTTAACAAATTGTGTCGTCTCAGGCGCGATTTCGAGCTATTCTTACCAACAAAGTGATCTAATTGAAATTTCAAGGTCAAAAATATGTCACACACTTATTTAGAAATCCCTCACATTTCTTGGAAAGGGGATATGGAGATTTCTGGGTGAGGAGCCCCTTCAGCCACAAACCAGTTCTGCCCATGCTTCCTTTACCTCCTCCCTCAGCCCTTATCTCGCACACGAAAAAGCACACGCGCTTTTTAGATCGGCCAGGAACCCAATATTGTGGATTTGTTTTATATGCTGAGGAGACTTTCGCTTCCGTTCTCATTCCATCACTCAAATTTAACAACCGGATGAATTCAATATCATGACTGTCATACTAAGGAAGAACGCCATATAAGCCTGCGTACGTTGCCTTTATTTCGGTAAAATCCGAATTTCCAGGAAAACATGCGATTATTTATCAACCAATTTTTCAAAGAATTTTCTTCGTAATATGATCTAAATTATCTATCATTACTGTATAATCACTGTCCTCATTATACCTATATTAAAATCCCCTCTTCAGGGGGTGCCTTATATGATAAGGATATCAAAATGTTACACCTTTCTTTTTAGGTGAAATAAGTGATAAAGTTTAGAATTAAGCTCTAGTAAGCTAAAATTCAATTGGAAAACATTAAGGTTGAAATATTTATACACATATTAATCATCAGGTCTGGTACACATCTTATGTTAAAAGAGAAATATCAGATTTTTCTCAAAAACTGATATTTAAAAAGGGAAAATTTGGCAACTCTGATGTTCATACGGCGTTTTTCCGTAGCATAGCAGAAGAGGCCATGTCTTTCAATCACGTTGAATGAATAGAAAGTAGTCGGGGAACTAATTAACAGGTTAGTGAGACGTAGTATTGAAGAATGGCATGGTGTCCCTCCCTGCAGTCGAGGGATCAAGGTCACGGAATGTAGGTCATACGGAACCCTTGCCGAGCCGCGAACTGGGTCGATTTTCAGCGAATGGTTCATTCAAGGGAGGGTGCAATGGTGCATGCACGAGGGGAACGCCTGCTCGGAAGGGCGAACTTTTCATTAATGGTGCACTCTCTCGGGGGAGGAACCCTCCCCCACCCCCCTTCACTCCCCTCTCCCTCTCTCCCGCGGGCCGAATGACGAATTGACCCACTATTCCTCCGTCCTGGGAAGTCCGGTTCCAACCGACTTCGAATCTTAGACGTCACTGAACATGGAGTCCCTTTCATTGGCGGATCCAGCACGCCGGATTTCCTCCATTTAAACTTATGGAAATGTATCGATTCTTGGAGGAGCCAAGTGCTCCAACGAGAATCGATTATTTAGCATAGCTTTAAATGGAAGAATTCAGTGTTGCCAAATTGCTAGATCCGCCTCTGGTCCCTTTATAGAGAGAGTGGAGACAACGCGGTTTATGGATGTCACAAACGGGAATAAAGGTTACACACATCGGCTATTTTTAGTTATCTTTGATCAACCCATTCCTGAATTCTTATTTCCGTTCCCTCTCTTATTCCATTTGTTCCTTGCCGTACCCCCAATTCCTCGGTCCGTTCCAGTCTATAATATTTACAAATTGATGAAAATGTACTCTTCATCCCCGTTTGTGACACTGTGAAGGCCTAAAGTACAGGAACCGATCAGAAATTGATTCGCATTGTCTTTACTTTCAGTATAAAGAGACTCTAACTAAACACAGGATCAAAAGAACACGCTCTCACTTTTCCCAACTTTTAGAAAATCGCATGACTTTTTCGGGGCATAGTGATTTTATTTGAGCTGAGGGGCCCCTCATAAAACAAGGGACACTCTAGAGGGAGGGAGGCCTGCGTTACGGAGCCGTCCCTCAGTTACGTAACGTACTTTTTTGGCATTTTTGAACAATGCGTTAAGTAATTTTTTAGGGTGCAGACTCGTGTCATGGGTGCTTGGGAGAGGGTGGGGAGAGTAACAAAATACGATTTTCAGCGTTACGTAATTTATGGCGGGTCTTTAAAGCTTAAATCACAACGTCGGATCAATGTGATTAGACCTAAAAAATTGAAATTAATATTTATAATATTGATAATATTTTGTGGATTTCGCAGATGCGAAAATCGATTCTGCCTTCTTTATCTTGTAGTTTACACACTTCTTAATGAAGACTTTGGAAAGCGATTCCTTTAAGTTTCAGTCGATTATTCGATTTTTGGAAAATACTGCCGGCCTCAAAATGTCCACTCCTACCTCATATTTTTAGAACGGTATCACTGGACTTTTTTGTACCCGATCTTCGGGGAATGTTCTTGGAAAGCCAGAGGAAAATCACACACAATTCTACAGTATAATAATGCGATACGTAAAAAACAAACAAAAATAATATTGTCTCTTATATTTTACATGTTTTGTTTTTCCTGTCAGCAAACATTAAAATGCAGATCCCATAGTAGAAAACTACGCCCTACCAAGATTCTCTAACCAATAGTAATGTGGTAACTCCACTCTGCCTAAGTATCTTACCGAATCATGCCCCTACTCTTTTGATTTATAGTGACCATGAACTATAATAGGGGGACAACGACTCCCATTTTCCAGATAAAATGCCAGAGGAATCTTGCCAACAAATCGAAGTGCTTCATTTGCAACGAAAATGCCACCAGTTTTGTTGGCATGAAATTGAGATAGCATCGTCTGCTGCATTAAGAATTAACATTATACGGAACATACATTGCCACGTTGGTGGATTTTGAACACTTATATCAAGAATGCAGTAATACATAATAAATGTTGCTATAAAAGTCTCTCCATTCTCCATGCAATCATGTCTATCTCGTATTGAAACTTCGCTTCTCTCTCTTCTCCCAGTGATTTTAAAGTCTGACAGGAAGTATGCAACGTTGCAAACGCACAATAAAATACTATAAAAAAAAAAAAGTTGCAAACGGAGATGCGTGGTTTCGCACATAAAGAATTAGTTTGTCCCATTACGTGGATCCTCCTCAGTATTTTTATTATTACTCGCACGTGACTATCTACAAAAAAAGAAACCTCGGTATTGAAAGAGTTAAAATTGCACTATATTTTGCAACAGGGAAGTGCTATTTTTGACTCATTTATGAAAGCTACCATCTTCCAAGGACCAATCTTTCCAAATGAAACTAATGGCTCATAAGTTGTTTTTACACAGAATCAGAAACAGCAGTTCTTCATTGCAAAATATTGCCAAATTGAGGTATTAAATTGCTATATTGCTATTATTATATTGGTTCTAAAAATGTTTTTCGAACATTCTGACATGAAAACCGAAAAAATTCATAATGATGCGAGGTTATAATAAAATGGTTTAAAGTTTGGAGTTAAAATATGCGCAGGTTTAAAATGAGCACTTGCAATTTTAATGTGCCTTTAAGTTCAACATTTTATCGGGCTAAAATGCAGTGATACGCCGTCTTTTGTCTAAAAATAAGTTGAAGGGGAAGAAAAAACGAAATCACTCGCATCTTAACTTTTGGGATACTTAAGAATACTTTTTCTCTGTTTAAATTTTAGCTTTCAAAGAATCAAAGCAATCATCTTTGCAAAACATGTTACATTAGCCAAACTTGCCCTGGACGGAGTTAAAATCCTCCAAAAAGGACAGCAGCTTAATTGGTATTGGTGGTATTATGAAGGCAATTAGTAATGAAATTAGAAAACAAACTGCATAAGTTTTCATGACTTAAACATGCATGAACTTTTTTTTCAAACTCAATTTCAAAAAAGAAACCCCAACCTTTTCCAACTAATAAAATAGTACAACCGTTTCCTTTGCCTTCCTCATTAATAAGAAATGTCAAATAGAAGTATTGGTAGATTAATTTGGGGGAAAAAAATTGAAGGGGAATATTGACAGCCTGTTTTCAGGACATACTCACGTGAAAAAAAACAAACAAACAGTTCAATAACCATGCTAAAACGAGTAGATAAAACGTTGTTCAGTTTATGTAAGAAGGCAGCCATCTCCCTGTAGGAGTAGCGCCTATTGTCTGGTTCGCACGCTGAATATAGGAGGCATCGGTGCGTTGTTGAGCGGTGCTTAGAATTTTCCGCGTGTCGCGCAATTTTCAGCAATCGATGAGGACCTCAAAAGCCATTTAGCTCGTATAAACTTTGCGAATTTACTACCAAATTGGATGATGAAATCTCAAAAATATGAGATTACAGTCGTTGGGAAACACACTTTTACCTCCATATTCAGCGTGTGAACCAGACGTACCGAAAGTTATTGAACGCCACTTTACCTATCTGTTTAAGCGCGTGTTTATGAGGCCTAATCTCGCAGTGTACCTGCTTTGATCGACAAAATTCTTACATATTCTAATAAATAAAGAAAAAGTACCGTCTTTTCTTATTTTAATTCGAAAAATTGTAGGACGCACCGACCGCTGTCAAAGTTTATCTCAAAAGTTGTCTTTGCGTAAAAATAATACTGTTACTAAGAATATCTTTAACGCTACCTTAGGCGGTCTTAACCTTTGGTTTTTATTATTAATATTTTTAACTTTAAATGATAGCCGAATACCTACACTATTCCAGTAGTCTAAATTATTTTGGAGTAAATACGAGAAATAATACAGTTAAGAAAAGGGAAGAGTTAAGTAACACGTATTGCCGTGACACGGGAAAGAGCCGTAAGTGCAAATCTTATGAGCTACTGTTAGCATATGCTCTTATGGGTCTTGAGGCTCAACCCAGTGGGCTGATTATTGAAATTGATATACAATCCAATAGACAAAGAAGGCAAAGGGAAAATAAAGCGGTCTTATTGGTGGCGATGGTTGGTTGCAATGGACAAAGGAGGTAAGTAATAGACTAATAACTAACGGCAACCCGCGAGAGACCCTATAGTTAGTCCATCATTACCTCTTAGCCCATAACAACTCTAACCAACAGGATCGCTCCATTTCATCGTCGTCTCCCTTGTCTATAGCTTTGTCCATCAATTTCAATAATCTGCGCGCAGAATGTACTTACCGTTCTTTTCCGCAACACGGCAGAGCAGATGTCAATTTAAATGAAGAACTTACACGTTTAGAATATTTCTCCAGTGTGACAAAATTGTAATTTTTACGTACTCCTTTCTTTTTAACTAATTTTTACAATAAATTAAAACCCGATACGGGACTTTTCTTGCGCAACTGCCCTTACGCGACTTTCTTTTGGGTTCATTCCAATGATTTTATGTATTTTGTTTTATTAAATATCATAAATTTTTCAAAGTCTGGATTATCAGCATCGGATCTCACCATAAGTGCTTAGAATTCAAACGAAAAATGGGGCACACGATGGTATGAGCACACAATGCACCACATGCGAACAAATTGAAGAACAATGCAGTTTGAAAGAGAAAAATTGTTTCCGAGCTAAAAATCGTGGCTAAAATATTTTTATCTCACCACGTTTTTCCCACTTTTTTCGGCTTGTCCGCGACACTGATGGTGATAAATTTTATCACTTTTGTCGCCAAAAATACGTCACGAATGAATAGGGCGAGCTTGACCGAAATAATGTACTTGATGATAACTACGGCGCATAGTAGGTAATGAACATATCAAATATCATCGTTCACTTTTTATCTTATTTAAGTATTTATTATTTTTCTCATTTTTTACTGCATTTATTTATAATTGCGAGTAGTAGGGATATAAGTTTTAAGGTGCGTCTTCCCTTGAAAAAAACTTTTAGGGAAAAAATATTTTACGCATTTTAGATACAGATATTATAAAATTTCAAAATCTTTTGATTAGTCCTACGTTAAAAAGCACAAACCCACGATCAAATTCACTCATCAAGAACTAAAAGAAAGTAACATGTTCAAAACAAAACAACCAATGATAAAACATGTATTTTCAATCTACTTTCACATGTACGATATTAACAGAGCATAAATACCTCCGTAATTAGATGGTGGTAAGTAGGTGAAACTCCCTCCGCTGGTTACAACAAAATCCAATGATGTTAAACACGCTACAACTAATTTCCTATACCCTGTTTCTCTGAGTTTAAATTGAAATACAACTACTAAAAATAAAATTATCTAAAAAAAAAAAAAACTGAGCAGAGAAGACCGTCTGCTATTTAACCTAGATCTAACGGTCACACTTTGTTTACTTGTCGCGAGCAACTTGCGCCTTGCGCAGTGTGGATACCAACCGCATTGATTTTTCATCGGCGGCGCTCGCGGTGGCGCAGACGCACGGGTTGCCTACCCACGCGGCTCGTTATCAGCAGTCGCGAGCCGTGTGTTCGTCGTCTCTTCGGCAACCAATGCTGATGACGTCACTGGACCACGCTTCACTGCGCGCGAGCCGGGATCCCGTGAGTTTGTGCAAGCGACGGCTCTGCTTTCATTGGACGGGAATTTTTGTGTTTCACGGTTCAATGTTCGCACGTCATGACCGGCTGCCGCTAGTTACGTGCGCTCTTCAGTTTGTTCCCCCAACCCTCGTAGCACTGGGGGAGGTCTCCAATGCGCCCTTCCAATTTTTTGTTTTAAACAGGAAAAACGGACGAATTGAATATTCCAGCATGGTGTGGGGTTGTCCGTTTGTGAGGAGTATGCAAAAACTGAAATAAAAGTATCTGTTATTGACAAACTCAAACAATCACTTAGGTGTTTACGGCCATAGATGTCAAGGCACCGCTTTAAAATAAATGTATATTTCTACCACTCGTTTCAATCAAATTCAACTTTATTATAATTGAATGTAAGTGATTGTTATAGAGGTGAGCGGATTTAATTGGAATCATCCCGGCTGCGTTTTTTGTTGCTGAATTTGCCCTCGTGTATTATTTCCTCAATGCTTCGCTCCATTGATGTAAGGGCGTATCCGTGTTTCCACATGAGCCCCGGTATCATGGAATTTTACATAGCCCAGGGCTCACATAAAAATTGAGGTATGCCCTTAGTCAGGAAAGCTACAAAATGAGAGCCAATTCATCGAATGCTCTGAAAATCTCAGTAAAACCCCCGATTGTGAAGGACACACTGACAACATTCCAAAGGCGTAGCGTGCTCTGCGATTAATCGATTGGTCTGCAATTTTAACCTATGGAAAAGGATCGACAAACTGGGTGTTCGCGACGAGCACCTTAATAAATCGATTCTTTACCATAGCTTCAAATGGGTAAATATCGATAATCGATCATTCACACTTCGCCACCGCAACATTTCAAGTTTCAGTGTTTATGCTGCTCCGTTATCTATTTAAAAATAAAACATCAAAGAAAAATAGACAATGCCTGAAACTGTCGGGCTGATTCCATTTAGCTCCAGTTCATCTAAGATGACTGACTCCACGATGCCTATCAATCTCTGTTTTGCCTCATAAATTTTTTTAAATCCAGAATGCAGCGGTCGAATCTCTCAATTCGAAAACGACCCAACTCGGGTTTATTACGATGTTCCCTTTATTTTTGCTTAGAAACACTCCTGATCTGTCTGTTATGCTGTTTCAATCGTCTCCTGAAAAATTTCATTTTCCCGAGAAGAGCCGTTTCCGAACTCAAAATTCAGTCACAGGTGTTCTCGCTGTGCTGCCGTGCTGAGAAAGAACGCCGTATGAACATTCGAGAGTTGCCGCATTGACCCGGATAAAACGTGTATTTTTAAAGAAAATTATGCGCATTTTTCCTTGAAATTTTCAGACGTTTTAGACAAAATTGCGAACAAAATTTGTAAAAAAAAAAATTGAAAAAAAAATAGTGACGGTTTTCCTAGTTAGTTATGTTTTTATTGAAGGAAATATAGCAGCATCTGAAGGATCGCGCGGCGTTCTTCCTTAGCACGGCAGTGTGGACGTCAGATTTCATCGGAGGTTACGTGGCGATTACGTTCATGGAGCGGAGCGCACACGCGCACAGGCCGCGCGCAGACTCGCGCCGGTGAGCGGTGTTCGTGGATGCGCGTTCTCAGCTGGAGCGCGACTCACCTGTCCGTTTCAGCGGTTTCAGGCTGGCGGGACCTGCTGCCGGCTCCTGCTCGCCTGCTACCCGTCGATCCAACACGCGTAACCTTCGTCCTTGACGGCCCTCCAAGGGGCAACTTGGGAATCTCCGTTCACGCAACCACCCATTCCATCCAGCGCCTGGCATGGCGCCGCGACGCGAGGCCACGCCGCACAGTGGATCCAGTCAATAGGAGAGGACGGACAAAATTTGGAAACTTTAAAAGCTTATAACTCCGTCTATACAAAACTTTGAAGTTCTGAAAGTGGTCCCTTTGGTTTCCTCGTGCAATTCTCGTCAAGAAGGACCTCTCAAAGTTTAAAATGTGGCGATACAAACATACAATTTTGCAGTTTTAGTCAAAAATTTCATGTGCGACCTCTCTAATTGACTCGATTCACTGTGCGCCGCACAGTAGATCCAGTCAGTAGGAGAAGTCGGACAAAATTTGGAAACTTTAAAAGCTTTTAACTCAGTTTTTACAAAATTTTGAGGTTCTAAGAGTGGTTTTATTGTTTTTTTCGTGAAATTTTCTTCTAGAATCACACTTGAAAGTTTTAAATATGACGAAATAAACATCAAAATTTGCAGTTTTAGTTCAAAATTTCATGTCCGACCTCCCTGATTGACTCGATCCACTGTGTGTTGCCGATACGCCTCGTGGGTTAAGCGCCCGTTAAGAGCTCCGCTGTTTCATCCGCGTCCATCGTGTAAACGGAGGGTATGGATTCGATCGACATGAGTCGATTCGAAAATGGAACGTGAATCGGTCGTCGTGAACCGATAGACACCGATTCGATCGACAAATAATTAAAAACCGGTGACGATACGATCGAAAAATAAACCCGTGAAATGAACGAGGCGATTTGATCCACAAAATTCGATCAATTCACGAGTTTTTCGATTTATTCACGGGTTTTTAGATCGACTCACATGGTTTGCCGATTGACTCACAGAGTTTTCCGATCAACTGACGGGGTTTGTCGATCATCTCACGGGTTTCTTCGATCGATGCACGGGTTTGTCGTTCGATGTACGGTTTGTCGACCGATTCACGGTATTGTCAATCTATTCAAGGGTGTTGAACAATCCACAGTTGTCGATCGGTTCAAATTCTTATTGTTCGATCGATTTATGTCGATCAAATCGGCACAGATTTTTTTTAAAGAATTTGTCGATTGGATCGGTGTCAATCGGTTTGCGTCAATCTATTTACATTTTTATTTTTCGATCGAATCCATACCCTCCTGTGTGAACGGATCCTCCGGTCAGTGGGATACCCTACGTCATGCAAATGAGCGAGTAGGAGAGGTAGCGTATTTTCAATGCGAGTTCATCGAATTATCGATGAGTTTGAAGAACTTTAGAAAATCAATGATTTTCCAAAAATTTGAGAGAGGCCGTAGTTCCGATAGAAAGTACCTTTGGAAAAATATTCTCAGAAACAAAATACCTAATTTTGACTCCAGAAGTACGCCCCGGCAGTCTGGTGGTTATGTTGGAAAAACGAAAAATCGCCGCTCGTCTATTGCTTTTATAATTCTACAATACGTATTTTGATGAATAAAATTTTCCTAAAACAATATAACAAATGGAAATGTTAACGTGTAAATAGCGAGTATTTTGGAACGTGGTAAACAGGGCCGGATTCACCTACTTGCCGCCCACGGGCCGCCTATACTATGCCGCCCCCTTCTCATTCGTTTTGAAACTCAATAAAAACTCGAACGTGCCAGTGGGGGAGAGGTGCATATGTCAACACTACTAGCAAAAGTTCACGATACTTTGCGCGAAAGTTAAGTTCCGTAAACCTATCTCTGTGTGGACAAGGCCTTCCATTCACAAGAAATGAACAAAAAAATTATGAAAGAACAAACATAAATGTGGTTCAATGATTTTAACTTCCGCCGCCGCCGCGCCGCGGAGACCGCACCGTGTTGGACGCAATGCGTGAAGTATTCGCGCAGTCTTGTAGGCGCTATGCGTTTCACGCTGACCGCGATGACCGCACTGTGTTTGATGCAATGCGTGAAGTATTCGTGCAGTCTTGTAGGCGCTAATATGTGTTACATGCCGATCGCCGCGACGAGGGCTTCTCCTTTGCATCTCAAGTCCTCGTTATCATTTCTCTCTAAGTAACTGCCAAATTGCGTGTTTGGTCTCTCTCTTAACTCAACTTATTGAAGGTGCTGTCTCTTGTATCACTAAGAGACGACAAAATTAGAAATTACTATACTCGCAGGAAATTGTCAGATTTTTTTGCCTTTTCTCGTTTGTAATTTTGTTTTTATAAATCCGATTTTTTTTATACCTACACTCTAAAAAATTGCAAATTTTTGCCGCCCCTTAGATTTGCCGCCATGGGCCATTTACGGCCCATGTGGCCACCGCCTTAATCCGGCCCTGGACTTGTAAATTGGAAGAGTATGGAGGAGTGGGAGCTACTGCAAAAGCTCACTCATTTATAAGTATTATGTTTTTCCTAAGTAAGGCGGTGTGTATTGTGCAACTGAGGGTAGAATCTTACCACAATTTCTCCCGATGGAAAAGTATCGCAGGCGCCATTTCAATCCAAATTAAGCTTCCAGTCAAAAGAAAAAATTCCCAAATATTGTAAAAATTGTTAAGATACTTTTGTATATGAAATCATTCCAAAACTGTTTTAGAAATTATTTTTAGGTATGTTCATGACAATATTATCTCAATAATATACAAACTTTTCAAAAGTATTTTGAAAATGCAGTAACGTTGATATTAAATAAACAACAAAATCTAAAGTTTAATAACAATGTTCAAAGTAAGTCTACACGCTTTTAGCAGTACCTTGAAAATAATTTGAAAATACTTCTGAGGATCAAATTCTAAAACTTTACAAGGATTAAATATTTTGATACGTTCTTAAATTATAATAAATAACATTTGCTTGCTGAAAAGGACAGCAAGAAAACAGCATCCCTCTGGAGCTGTAGGTTGCGATAAGTGACAACAACAACGCCTGGACGCAACAATTCGTGATTGATGAATGTCCTAATTGCATACTCGACAAACTGAAGGCGCACTGGCTAGCGTTGTGTTATTTGAAGCGCGCACAGTTCTACACTTGATCCAATGCGATTTAGCACTCTTGAATGAATGTGACGAATAACGAACAACTGAAATGATCCAAGCAGAAAAGATTCAAGTTTTTTGGGGGG